ATATATATATATATATATATATATATATATATATTTCATCATTTACTTCCTTTTTATCATTTAAAGGTGGAGAAATCACTCTTCTTTAAATACCTTTTTTTGTGTGTCAATTATATAAAAGAAGAATAAATTAAATTAAATTTTACTGAATACAATTTTTTTTAGTTGTACAATAGTGAAACATAATTATAGATACAAAGTCCGTAACAGTTTATTAAATGGGCTAGAATATATATTTAACTGGTCTTATAAATTGTTAACTACTATAAAAATAATTCTAAATTAATTCTTGCATTCGTATCGAATGGTATGCATATGGTTATTGTATGTGTTAGCTTGACTTTATTTTGTAGTAATTAAAAAGTCCCTTTTATGTATTTATTTTATTTACTTAATCTATCCTCTGTCTATTGAACTCAAAAAAGAAAAAAAATAAAAATAAAAATAAAAAAAATTAAAAAGTGATTGATAATTTTTTAGTAGTTTATTGTTCAGCACACACAGTATCCTAGTTATACATGTTACCATACCTAATTCTCTTAGCATACACGCATCATCAGAGCTCTTATCACCACTATATATACTCTCATTCTCCTTCGAGTTCTTATCATCATCATTTTCCTTTCTCAGTCATCTTCATCATCGGCATATATACAGGCACACACTGCTGGTCTTCATCACTCACCATCAACACTGAAAAGTGACATCAAGGATAACATCAAACAGATTCAGTTTATTGTCAGGTAATTCTTAACTCTGACCGTTATCATTACAAGAAAATTATTATAAAATAATATATATTTTTTAATGTATAATATATATTATTAAAAATTATTTTTAATTACATAATAAATATGATATATGTTAATATTATTAAAAAATATAAGTGTAAATTATAGTGACACATAAAATATATTATTAAATTTCATTTAAAATCAACACCAAATATATATATATATATTTTTTTTTTTTTTTGCATATTTGTGTTTTGGCTTTGTCTTTTATTCTTTAGATGTGTGTATATTTAACATGCTTTAAAAGTTAAAACAACATCCATCACTTTTATTGAATTATATAATCATTTTTGCTGCGGTAAATGTTTTTAAATTGAATTAAAAGCCTTTTTGATTTTGCCTTTCTGTCCATGGAAGTTGGCATTCAGCCTCTATAATTTGTCTATAATGATAATACTTTGTCACAACTTATATTTAAAAGGGTTTAAAGGATAAAACAAATAATTATATAGGTAATAATTAAAGTCAATATATTTCTACAAAATTGATACCAAAGGTTATAACAAGTTCATTTTGAAGTTTAGGAGTGTAAGTGGACTAATTTGGATTGATTTTGGATAGATTTATTAGTTGATTCTATTAAAATTTAATGGATTATGTTGAATTTGTATATTTTTAAAAAAATTAAATTTATATCATGAATGAGTTGGATTAAATTAGATTCATCAAATCAACATAATTAATTAATTTATTTTTGTAAAAATTTAAATATTTCATAATATATGTAAATCATTTGATATGTTGTTGTAAATACAATGTTATCAATCCATAAAATAAATTTTTTGATTTATTACATTGTTATAAACCTAAACAATCAATATTAATACAAAATAAAATTTAAAATAAATATATTATATTGTTATAATGCTATATCAATCTAAAAACCTTAAACTATGTATTATTGAACAAAAGGGACAAAATATTCTCCTGAATAAGTGATTATCTAAACAATAACTTATTATTATTATTATTATTATTATTATTATTATTATATACATAAATAGAGAAAGATTATAATAACACCGGTGTAACTTTTACTAAGTATTACACCGCTCAATAATTTTATATTAAATATGACTTTTGTAAATCTAACTGTTATATTGAAAGTTCTTTACTCTTAGATCATATATACAAAATTTTATATTAATCTAAGATGATTTGATACTTCATTTTTATAAAACAAAATTGATATAATATATTTATTTCAAAATATACTAAAATATGAATATTTTGATTACCTTCAAGTTGTTCAATTTGAACAAAAATCGATATATACATATAAAGTGATATGAACTTTCAATCTAACGGTTAGATTTGCAAAATTCATAATTAATATAAAGTTATTGAGCGGTGTAATATTTAGTAAAAGTTACACCAGTGTTATTATAACCCCTCTCATATATATATATATATATATGTATACATATATATATATATATATATGAGAGGGGTTATAATAATAATTTTATAATTATCCGTCAATTTGAATTAATGAAATGAAGTATCAAATAATTTTCAAATTTTCTAAAATTTTGCTAACTTGATTTATGCATTAAGAACTTTGAATTCAATGGTTGGATCGTTGAAATTTGATATAAAATATGAATTATTGAACCGATTAAGTTTAGGTAAATTTACTCCAAAAGTAAACGAATTCCTTATATATATATATATAAAAATTATGTTTGGTTCAAGTTAGATCTGACCAAAACACTAAAATATTTTATTCAAGTTAATTGGATCGATTTGGGTAAATTCAGGTTTATGTGTTATTTGTACTCTTACATCCCTAATGAAGTTGATGAATCATTATAAATTAAAAGCTTTAATTAATGAATGCTCTAATTAATTACTAGCGTGGATGAAATTTATATAAGACAAAATTTAAATATGTTGTGATTAGTATTGTTCTTCGATCAAAGTTAAAATTTTACCTCAATAATATGCATAAACATATATTAATGAGTCTTGTATTAAATGTAAGTAGATGATACCAAAATAAAATTTCTTTAATTAAAGAACAACATCAACTACATTTAAAAAATTATACCTACATTTTATATATATATATATTGGATCTCGTAATAGTTGTCATTTAAGAAGAAAAAATAAATCTTAAATTAAATTGTTGATTTGTGTTTCAATACATATTTAATGACTAAATATTTAACTACTAGTAAAGTGTATTAAAATATGTATGTTGTCAGTGCTTCTCGGTGGTCAATAATAAGATATCTTTTATTAGTTAAAATTGATTAAAAATAAAAAAAAATGATGAATTTTATATATTATTTAATGAATATTACGTATAATTTTATATTTTTCTTAATAAATTTTAACCTAATAATAAAAAGTGTTAAAAATAATATGTTAACGTTCTTTGTGCTTTGTACGAGGACTCAAACAACTTTAATTTTTTTAATTTTTTCTCTGGTTGTTGATAAATATTATTTAAAGAAAAAATCTTAATAATACAACTCCTGTTACACCTTTTTAAACCCATTTTATTATTGGCCAAATTTTATTAAAAAGTACTTATTTGTGTTTCACTTTTTATTTAACGACTATTTCTTCTAATTTTATACTTTTGAATAAAACAATTTGTGTAGTAGTGTAAAAATGTATGCCGTGTTAAAGAGTATTGATAACGGTAACATGCACTTGTTAAATGAAAAAATAGAAAATAACTTATAGAAAGTGTGGTACATGTTGATAAACATGCATGCAGTATGTAAAACAGGAGATACATAATGAAAAACTTCAATCTTAAACTAACTTAAAAGGCCTGAAAATGGGTAGGAGAGTTGTTATGGTAACAAAAGCAGCAGCAGACCAAGTATTTTTCATAGGGGATGATTCATGGTCACTGCACGACACTAGAAGCCCCTTTCTTTCTTTCATATTTATTTTTCATCTCCCTCTTCCTTTCCTTATCTTGAAAGGCACGAAATTGGGTAGCAGCATAATTGTAATGGAGACAATGGCAGCAGCAAACCATACGACAGTATCACCATCATTGCATGACTCTGGTGGCAGCATCAAGAATATCACACGCATTGATCCTGCATTATATTTTGCTGCGGTGGAAGGAAACTTCAAAGAATTCATGAATAACCAGAATTTGGAGAGCTTGCTTACTCCAAACAAAAACACCGTTCTTCATGTACACTTGACATCTACAAGTAGTCACAACATCCAACATCCTTCGGATACATTTGTTCAAAAAATGCAAAGAAAGATGCTATGTTTACCACACCCAACACCTGAAACCCCAGTTTCAGAAGAATTTGTGAATCAGATTCTTGACAAGTGTGGAGATCTAGTTCTACTCCCTAACGCCAAGGGAGAAACACTCCTTCATATAGCTGCAAAGTATGGACACTCCAATATCGCAAAAGTGTTGGTTGAACGTGTCAAAGCTTTTCCACCAGATATTGAGAATGGTATTGGAGCAGATAAAAAGTTTATAAGGGCCACAAACAATGAGAAGGACACTGCGTTGCATGAGGCTGTGCGCCATGGTCACATTGAAGTGGTGAAGACCTTGTTGGAGAAGGATCCTGAATACTCCTATTATGCAAATAACGCTAACGAGACTCCGCTTTATCTGGCATCAGAAAGACAACAACAGCAGGTGGTGAATGAGATATTAAACAAAGTGACATCACCGGCATATGATGGCCCCAAAAATCAAACAGCACTACATGCTGCTGTCATTAACCAAGATACAGGTACCAAACCTAGCTATGCTCATTTGTTTGTTTTCTTTTTTTAATGTTGTTCATATATAATTTTATCTTGATTTTTTTCTCGTTTTCAAGTATATAATCTGAAACGACAGCATATTTTCTGATAATTTTTTTCTCACTAGATCATTATAAGGAATTGTTCAGATTTTAATGGTATAGTAATTTTAAAAAAATTGTTTTGTAGTAAAAAAAATGGAATGTAAACACAACGGAAGATAAATAAAAAGGGAAAAAGTGATAGATATTAGGTATATAATAATTAATCCATAAAACAATGAGATAGAGATAAAATGAAAGTTTTACTGTATGTATCTATGCGTATTTTATAGGACCAAATCAGTAATAGAGATATGGATTATATATATGTTTTTTTATTAGTTATGGGATATACAATTTAAATACATTAAGCATGAGAAGTAATGAAAATTTATTAAAAGAAGGTATTGCAATTTGCAATTGATGATGAGGAGTGGATACAGGAATGGTAATGGATCTTCTGAAGAATGAACATGTGAGAGTGGCGGTAAAACATGCGGACAAGGATGGTTGGATTCCTCTTCATTATGCGGCAAAAAGGGGGAACGAAGAATTGACGGAATTGCTACTTAAAGAAGATGAGAATAGTGCATATATCCAAGATAATAAGGGCAGAACAGCTCTTCACATCGCTGCCTATTATGGTGTTAGTTCGCATAATGTGGAAATGATTATAAAACACTATCCAGATTGTTCGGAGATAGTGGATAAGGAAGGCCGAAATGCTCTTCATCATGCAGTGAATGGGAGGACACAGGATATAATGGGAAAAATCATGAGCAACCTCTCACTTAGTAACCTTTACAATGAGAGAGACAATGATGGAAACACGCCCCTTCATTGCCTCGCTGCTTATCCACACCTCAGTTGGGACTTTAGCAGACTTAAATATCACGGCAGAGTCGACAAACTGGCCCTCAACAAGAATGACCAAACACCCCTTGATGTTGTCTTTGATAACTTGAAGCCTTCACTAGAATCAATATGGCCACAATGGGTAAAAGTTAACACTTTTATTATATATTTATAT